AGTTCTCAATTTAATGCATAACATTTATCTTGCGTAAGTTGGTTATATGTACAATTTTGTTTTTAAATTAAAGTTTTCCAATGGACTTTTGTTTGATACCCAAACTGTGAAAACTTTAAAAAGTGCATACATTGTTATAAATACATACATATCAAAGCAACGCAATATTTTCTGCAATCAAATTGTTTTGGATTGCAATATCTTGTAATCTCTTAATGTATATACTATTATATAATTTCAAAACTTGCATTAAATAGATTTCGTAGAATTTTCATTTACAAATCATATTATTTAATTAAATTTAAATATTTATATTTTTGTTTAGCAAGACAATAACCGATGAAAAATCCATAACTATCATACAGAATCATCCTAAACCTACTCCATTACGTGCTAAAATTCATTTGCTTGATCAAGAGGAGACTCATTTGCTATTACCGATGGTATTGGGTGTTGCTATACCCATCTCGATTTCATGCTTTATTGTACCGCTGGTGGAGGAACGCAAATATCACTTGTTGATGCTACAAAAAATGGCCGGTATCAGTATGGCGCGCTATTGGTGTGTTAACTTTTTGTGGGATTACGCAACGTTCTTTTCGCATACTATCGTTTATACAATTATACTAGCGTTAGCGCCCATTGAAGGATATTCATTCTCAGACAAAATGTGTACGTTTTTATGTACTTATGTACGTGTTATGTATACATGTCGCTAGTTTGCTTAAAGGGATTTCATAACAATTCTTCTAAAAAAAATTAAATCAAAATACAACCGTCATTGGAGATCCCAAGACATTTTTAGAATATCTAAAAATACATATCGTCACCCTCGTGTCAAAAGCATGAATGTGCAAATTTATCAGCTCTGAGTTATTGGGCTGAATTGATTAAACCTTGGATGTTCTATGTTATACCAAAGCCCAGAATACCATGCTTACACGGAAAGCAGATATTTTACAATTTCAATTGAAGAAATTTAGAGTTAAAGGCCAAATAACGTAGCAAAATACTTCAGAGCTGATTATGGTTATGGCGAAAAACCAAAATTAAATAGATGCCTACGGTTATGGTTATGGCTCTGGTGTTATATATGTTTTATGTGTTTTTAGCTTTTCTCTCTGACGTCAGGATTTTTTAAAAGGACTTTGTAGTTTCAATTTGAAACTTTCAAAGATATCATTAATTCCAAAAATTATTTAAAAAATTCATTCCAATGTAGAAAAAGAGTATTGACACCAAATGCAAGAGAAAATTCTATATAATTAAAAAAATAAAAATAAAATTGTTTGGTTCACAAGGACGAATGGGTATAGGAAATGTCCCTTTAACTAGTGTTATTTTTTTAAGCGAGTTAAGTTAGAACGATAAAATTCGAGGTTGTGGTCGAGTGCATATTAGTCATTAACATATAGTTTTTTCGAAAATAATTACTGTAAATTTTCAAGGACATTAAATGATAAAATGTGAAAAGGACATTTTCAATACCTAATCGTCCTTATGCACCAAAAAATTTAAGCGGCCTTAATTCTACAGAATTTTTTCTTTAATTTGTTAGCCCTGATAGTTTCTGAGAAACTAATTCAATAATTTCAATGTAAACACTCTACCTACTCAGGTGTACATGGCGTATGCTCATATTTCATACAAAAAATTCTTGCACAGTTTCCTTGCTTTCTTATTTATATATCGATTTTACTCATTAGTAGCTTAATTTTTTCATGTGCAAACAAGCTGTTTTTTTTTAATTTTTTCCCTGTTAAAGTTTGCATTTTTTCCATTTTTTTATAAAAAAAAAACAAAATATATCTCGAAAACGTATCCATAAAAAATAACTCGATTTTTGGATTTCGAGCGAGCGATTATAGATATAAATTTGATAGTGGCGTCTGGAGCACAAAAACAAAATTAAATAAATTTGATAGTGGCGTCTGGAGCACAAAAACAAAATTAAAATTAAGCTATTACAGTTTTCTATATCGGATACGATTGTTTCTGATGTACATAATTCAGGCACTGAAATGACACATTTCGATGTGTTATTTAATACATATTGTCTTTGTCCATTTAACTGCATGTCTATCAAGTAATTTGAAAGTGGAATTTATTTTTGGACCCATGGGCCTGATGACTTTCAGGGAAGTGAGTATTCATTTCTAGTACATATATTTTGACAATATCGTAAAACCCCACCCATTAGAAAGACACCGTATTTTGACAGAGAAAATATAAGCTCGGGTTACGCTAAACACAGGAAGTTTGTGCAAAATACCTTTCCGCGTTGTAGGCCTTCGGCCACGCTTAGAAAAAATAACCCTCCAAGTCCGCCTAAGCTGACGACAGTATTTTTTTACAAAAATGTCCACATTTCAAACTGAATTTATTAATAAATTTGTACTCGAAAATTTGAAATCTTTATTTTAAGCTAATATTTAATCGTTTGAGCACACGTGTATGTTAAATTTTTTTGATTCGGGCTACGCGTTTGGGCACAATGGGCCGTATGCATAAAAACTAGGCAATTGCTTTGTCTTAAAATTTCTTACCTTAAAAGGTCTGTAATTTTCAAAAAAAAAGCATTTGCTTCTGTTTTATGCATGCGGCCCAATAAACCAAAATTATTGTACAAATAACCGAACCGTACCCAATAAAATACCTTCTGCTTATTCAAATTTCGATTCTACGAACAAAATGTTTTTAAATTAACAAAAAATTAATACTATAATTTGAAGAATTTTAGATACTGAGTATGATAGCACGAAATGTCAGAATCTGCTTAATTGTCAGGATGTTAATATGGCGACCAAAAAAGTGACTGGATGATTTAATAATTTTTAGAAGGTAGTTTTACTTCAAAATTTTTGACATAAACCGTTTCTGTGACAAGCACGCAATGTGGCCATTGCTACGATATAGAATCGGGGATTTTCGCTTGTTATTTTAGATGTTTTTAACAGAACGTGTAAAGATTTATATATTTCATAACTGATTATTTCGTTTTAATATATATATACGTATTTAAGACATACATACATTCTTGCCAATGCTAATTTTATGGAAATTGCCTTTTTTTCTGCAAAAGAGATAGAGTATACATATTCGATTAAGAATTCCCACGATTTAGCTTTCCCTGATTCCATATATACACATTTGATGTTGCCTTTTTTTTTTAAGATATTTGCCCTTTTGTTTGCTTTTTTTAAGGTATTTGCCCTTTTTTCCTTTTTTAAGATATTTGCCCTTTTGTTTGCTTTTTTTAAGGTATTTGCCCTTTTTTCCTTTTTTAAGATATTTGCCCTTTTGTTTGCTTTTTTTAAGATATTTGCCTTTTTTTTTGCCTTTTCTACCTTTAAAAAAGTGATTATAGCATTTACAATATTTTTTTAAAGATTAAAAAATATACACATCTATTTTGTTTTGCCTTTTTTGCCTTGGTTGCAATACCTAGTGCCAATTTCCTGCCTTTTTCGCTATTTAATTTTGCCTTTTCCAGCCTATTTCGTTTTTTATTTTGCCTTTTTTATAGGTTTTTAGGTCCTGAAAATCCGTTCCCTGCTAATCACATGAATAAAAATCATAAAAAACGAAAATGTGACGGCAATATTTCTTGCTTAAAATGTTTTAGATCCATCGCACTGCACAGACTGACGGCCGCTGATTTAGTTGGGCTCGATAGTCTTTCCATTGCACCACAACTAATTGGTTTGACTGATTAACAGCCAGTTTCACCAAACTATTTAAGTGGAAATTAACTTTAATTTTCGAATTTTCGGTTTCACCAATCAATTTTAATTTTGATTTAAGTGACCTATGCTCTGCACTTAAATAAAAGTTAAATCAGAATAACCACACTCAGAGGTGTTACACGTTTAATCACCTGATCATTGTGTAACTGCTGCTTACTTGTATACCAGCCCTGCTTTTACAATACAGCGTGCCAAAGCTTTCAAAAGCTCTCAGTACAAATGAAAGCGAAAGCTAGTCCTAGTCTGTTTTACAACCACTTTTTACTCACTTATATAAATAGTTTATTGAAACTGAAAATTATTTAAATGAGAATTAAATACAAAATTAAATTAAAGTTAATTTGCACTTAAATAGTTTGGTGAAACTGGCTGTAAGTTGATGTAGTGTGCGCACCTCCATACATCTTCATGTATCTACATATTTCAAGCGAGCCCTACTATTTAAATAGACGGCCGATAAGTCTGTGGTGTGCGGTGGCTCTTATAGCTGTATCCTTACACCTATTCCGTTTGTTTCCTTTGTTTTATTTTTGCAACGTCAAAAGCTGGATTTTTTTTTGGTACAACAAAAAATACGAAACACATTTTCTACAATCGGTTGAAAGGCGAAATCTCTTGAATGTGGCAGACACTGAAAATCGCGGAAAATTTTGTGTTGGCCGTAATACGAAACTCCTAGTGTGGTTTACCATGGTAAATCTACACGTCCGCATACTGAACTAACAAAGGTTGTGAGAAATAGGAATCGTTTAAATCAATACTTATGAAATAGTCTCCTAGACTCAAATTCCGAATAATATATGTATGTACTTCTTCCTACTTTCTACAGTTGCTTTTTTCCTCAGCGCTAAAAGCATTGTCGGTCGGTGTTATTAATGCAATAAAAAGGTGCATTATCTAAAGTAAAACGTAGCCAAACATAACCAATTTTTTTAGTTTGTCACGCCCTTTTAGCTAACAAGCGATATTTATTGTAGTATTTCTACTTCTAAAATAAATATGTACCTATCGATGGTCCCGTGCAATAACGCGACACAATCCAAAATATAAAAAATAAAAAAAATTAAAAACGTACTACTTTTAAGTGGCTCATGCCTCTAATCCATGTTTAACCTTTTGTACTTACTTTTGCGNTTTAATTTTTTATATGCACAGCACACATGTGTGAGCGTAAAATGTTAGGATGTGCTGCACATGTGTGTGCAAATACGAACCCTGTTATTTTTACAGATGCAATGCTACTAATGAATATTTACGGAATACCCGGTTTAGGGTTAATATATGTTCTCTCATTATTCTTCTATTGGACAATGTGGTCTGCGTTTCTAATAACGGTTATAATACAAATTATTACAGGTAGAACTTAACATTTCGTTAAAAGTAAATATCGCTCATTTCCCAAAAAAAAAACTGTCACAACTCAAAAACCGAAATTGTTGAGCAAATACTCGTTATATAATGCTTCAGATCATGAACGAACGATTGGTTCGTGGCTTCATTGCGTAAAAAGATCGTATGCTTCTCTTTTATCCTACATTTTGTTGAAAACTTTTAACGCGTCGCATGAAAAATTTTTAGCTTTTTTCGTTGTGACAGTCTTTAACAGTCAGTTTCACGAAAGCAATTTATGTAAGTGAAAAATAATTTAAATTTTTGGAATTTTATATGAAAGTTGACAAAAAATAAAAAATCATTTTCCATTTAAATTGCTGGTGAAATCGGGTGTTAATAAATGAGCGATACCTACTATGTACATACATATCTGTGTTCGTATAGAATAGTATGTCGGGGTGCTGGCTTTAGTATAATGCGGCTTTCCCTTTATTCCTTAAACGGCNTATTGATTTGCTAGTATCGGAACTATTTCTTGCACGTTTATTTTCCAAAAGTTCTTCAACGGCTCGACGCCAGTGAGTCATTCGCAATCGTATGCTGCGAATGCCGCATTATACTAAAGCCAGGCTTTCGACATACATACATATGGAAGCTACTATTCCATACGAACGCAGATATGTAAGTATGTACATCTTCTTCTTGATTGGCGCTATACATATGTATGCACTTATAAAAACAAAGTCAATTTTGCAGGCATATTTTCGTATCTTATTTATTGGGATGTCCTGGAAAACAATGAGATATTCTTTTATATTTGGTCAATATTTCCTACTTTTTCGTTGATGGAAGGCATAAGCAACGTATATACCCAAACCAAGGAGGAACTGTATTGTGATCAGGCATGTATGGAGGATGACGACTGTGATAAATACGATATGTGCGCTGCGCTGCCGCAATGTTGTCGTAAGTACCGAATAACTCTTGCATCTTGCCGTTTATTTAATTGTGGTGATTTCATTTCTACCAAAAAAGTTGTTTGCCAGGCAAGGGCAAAATTTTTTGGAAGAAACGAAATCACCATTACACAATTCATTGTTTTATTAATCAATAGTTATAGTTTAGAATGTTAAGATTAGATTTAAGCACTAGATTTAACTTTAGTTATGTTTAAGTTAAATAGTTTTAAGTTTACCGAAAGAGAAATTCTGCGTGCTTTTTACCCGGCCTATCTTCAGCTAAATTAATTTTTATTGGTTTAAATTTTGATTAGCAAGGTACCATTTTTTTCGTTTTTCGATATTGTCGTACATATTGAAAACCATATAATACGTAACATAACGTTCTGAATCCCAAAAGTGACACTGAAGATGGTACAATGCCGAAACCGGCTTGTTTAAAAGGAAAAGGCAAGGGGTGACGGAAATTCATTCCAAAATACAGTAATTAAGTATGTTTGGCGACAAATGAGCAGGAACCCTTATAGCCTATTTCCACCAGAGGCTTAACTGCAGCTAAGAGCTCAGATAAGTTCCAAGAATTTCAACATGGGGTGACCGGCAAGGTTTATTTCTTAGTGTTTGCTTTTCTCCTTTCGTTTGCTTGTACTTATGTAGTAGGAGGAATTATCCCCTTCGAGTTGTAATCTCCTTGGTCCAATAGGCATAAACTGCAGTTAAGACTTGGTGGAAATGAATTTTTAGTCCTCGATCTCTTTTAGAACGATTCAAGATTACTTTTTAGTATATGTATGTTCATTTGTACACGAATAGGTACTATTTATGGATTGGTACATACTTACATACATACATACATATGCATCTATTTTTTATCTTTACGCTTTTACAGTTACAAGTATTTTCAAATTTGACGATCCCGGGATTCTATTATCAATTTGCTTTATGCTAACGTCTGCAGTATTTCTTTTTATTGCACTTTGCCTCATTGAATCAAGAAGAGCACGAAAGCGATTCTCATCGAAAAAAGAGTAAGCGTTTAGTTTTTCTGGTTGATTAATAGAAAATGCCTATCAGTTTGATTCACTTTTTTAGCGTTAAATCGCTGCATTCTGCAACACATCCTTACGATGACGACGATGTAATGAAATTGAAACAATTTATAGCCCAGCAAGACTTGCAAAGTAGTCTTAAAAAACGATTTATGGTTGATCAGCTGGAATACGAAATACAAAAAACAACGAACTCATTGAATACAATTTCATTTCTGGCTGAAGAGTAAGTGAAAGTAAAATCCTTTATATTACTCGGTGTTATTAATACATACTATGTATGTATGTATTTACTCCTACGTAAATACGTACGTCGTAAACTGAAATGCAAATAGAAGTAACTAACATTTTCACATGGAACTCAAAAGGCCTAATTAACAAAAATTTAACTTTTTGATTGATATGATGCATTTCATCAAATTACAACTTCGCACATCCTTTCATGCAAAAAAGAAAAATATTAGTTACGACTTTTGGCATTACAGTGAAGATCTTGGTTATGGCTTATTTCGTCGTGAAATTTTGAAAAGTTGTGCCTATTTTATTTTGAAATAGAAGAAATCGTAATAGAAATGGAAGAAAT